AAAATCCTAGCTCTCTAAGATGGCCTGCAAAGCCTATAATTAGCTGGCCTCTGCTCCTGCCTACCTCTCCTCTAGCCAGTCTTCCCTTCAATCTTGTGCTCCAGCTTCCTAGACTTTTCTGGGATGTCCCAGTATTTCTGACTCCTCCCACTAAGGGCTTTCAAACACACTGACTCTTCAGGCCCAGCTTAAGTTCTTCTTTCACAGGTCCACCATGATCTCATGTCGTAGGTTCCCTGATTTTTCTGTCTCACAGCACCTACTTTAATCATTCAATGTATATTCACCTTTGCCATGACTTCCTGGGGAGAGTGACAATGTCTTCGAAGGTCAGTTATATAGGCCTTCAAAGACATAGTATACATTTGCTATTTGTTTGAATTAATGAATTAACTCAGTATAGACTGAGTCCCAGTGCACACATAGTTGACTGGAACTCAGGAAGCAGTCAAAAGGTATAGGGGATCTGAGAGAATACAAAAAAAAAAAAAAAAAAAAAAAAAGCTAACAGGTTGGACAGAGATAAGAACTCCAGTATTAACAATATTTGACTCCAGCAGTAATTTGGGGTACTGGGCCTACCCAGGTCCAAATCTCCATCCAGTTTACTAGTTTTTGTGCTCTGGCACTTCAGATGAACATGTTGAGTGAACACCTTCAGTATCAGCTATCTTTCTTGGAAAGAAAAAATGAATTTCATGAACTCACATTACCTGTGTGAAAAGACAGTAGATGCTCAACAGAATAAAAATAAAAGGCAGTTAATTTGTTAACCAACTTGGAAACATAAACAGAACATTTGGAACATAACTTGAGCATCAGTCTTAGGAAGGGTGCTGGCCTGAAGTATTGAAATTCCAGTTCAAAAGCGTTTTTCTAGCTATGTGACTTACTCTCTTTGAGGTTCCATCTCATCTCTAAAACACAGATCCTGTTACTTCTTAAGAGTCCATGAAGATTAAATTAATTATATTATATAAAGTCCTTTGGTCTATCCTAAGAGTTTAACCAACAGGTGGTTTACGTGTTCATTTGTAAGTGCCTACTGTATTTTCTCGAGGTTAATTATTGCATTAAAAAAAAAATAAACAGGGCCTCCCCGGTGGCGCAGCGGTTGAGCGCTGGCTTGCGAAGCTGCCCGCAGCCTCTGTGGCGCCGGTTCGATCCCCGGCTGCTCCCCGGCCACCGGAGGAGGGTCCCACATGGCGCGCAGACCTCTCCTGCCACCCGCTGCTCCCCTCAGCAGTGTACTTCGGTCCTTCTGCCTGTTCTGCTCCCCGCTCTGGCTCTGGTGAATTCTCTCACCCTCCCGCACTTCTGACTGTACCCAGTGCATGTATAAACAAAACAAAGAAAGAAAGAAAGAAAGAAAGAAAGAAAACATGCCTCTATAAAAAAAAATAAACAGGGGCCTCCCTGGTGGCGCAAGGGGTTAAGCACCACCCTATGAAGCAATCCACAGCCCCAGCACCACGAGTTCGAGCCCCAGCCTGCCAGGGAGAAACCCACATGGCAAGGCAGACCTCTCCTGTCTCGCCCGCTGTTCCCTCAGCAATGTATTTCAGTCAGTCTGCCTGTCTGTTCCCATCTCTGTTTCTGGTGAGTCCTTTCACCGCCCCCCCCCTCTGGCCTGTACCCCAGCTCTTGTATGCACAAATGGATAAATCTTTTAAAAACACACACACACATTTAAATTGCCCAACGTAAAGACAACGAGAAAGCACATCTATCTACCCGTTAGGATGGGCTTTTTTTTTTAATACGGAAAATGTCAAAAATGAACTCAGAAAACCGAACATTTACTCCAAAGAGATTAGCAAAAAAGTTTAAAACTTGAACCCAACGCTTTCTTAAGTGCTGACAGCTGTAAATACTTCTGATCCACGACTTACTTTAATTTAAAATGCAAGTCAACAAAGAAGTGGGGAACCCGGAGACCTCACTGCATCCCTCTCCCTGCGCTGAGAGGGTTCACTGGGAAAGATTTTATTTCTTCCTCACAACCTAAGCGGTAGGTGGGACCACTTCTGTCATTCCCGAGGTTTCGCGCGGGCTGGCCTTTTGGGGACCCCGGGCGGGAGCCCCGCAAGCCGACTCCCGGGCGCGCGGCCTCCACCGCGGGACGGCTGCTCCGCCACGGCCCCGGGTCAGCCGGGTCAAGGTCCCGCAGGCCGAGGCCGCGCGGCGGGCGGACGTGGTCCCGGCGCTGGACACCGCGCCCCGAGTGACCTTGAGCCTGGCCGGCCGGGACGGCCCCTGCCCTCCCCAGGCTCCGGCCCGCCCCGCCCCGCCGCCCGCGTCCCCGGCCCCCGCCGCCGCCCAGGTGGCCTTGCCCCGCGGGAGCGCGGCCGGCCCGGGGCGGAGACCCGCGCCGAGGACCCCGCGCTCTCCGCCCTGCGGCGGCCCCTCCCCGGCCGCTCCCGGAAAGGGCGGCGCTGCTCACCGGAGCCCGGGCTGGAGGCTGCCGGGGCGGCCCGCCGCAGGAGGCCGCCGGCCGAGGCCGCTCCGCAGGCGCGTAGCACTCGCGCCGCCATCTTGCTTCGGCGCCTCGGCTCCCACCGCCCGGGCGCCGCCGCTGACGCCGCCGCCTCCGCCGCGACCCCTCCCCGGCCGGGCCCGCCGAGGCTGGGGCGGGGCGGGGCGGGGCGCGCAGCGGCTGCACTGCAGGGCGCCGCCGCTAGGGGGCGAGGGCGCGCGGCCGCGGGGGCGCGGGGCTTGGGCTTCCCGGCGCCGGGAGGCGCGGTGGCTGGGAGGCGCGCGAAGCTGCGGGGGAGTCTGGCGGGAGGAGCTCGGTTCCCAGCGCCGGGTGCTCGGAAGGAACATGGCATGGCTTGAATGTCCTTGGGAAGCTCCGCAAGCAAAGAGTAACACTGTTGCTAGGGGAATCTGGGGCGTGGGGCGCAGAGCACTGAGGGGGCTTCTCCCCTGACACCTCTCGCGGGTTGTGCGGTGCATGTGAATACACGAGGAAAGAAAGAAAAGGGCTCGCGCTGATGAAAGCACTACGAATGGGAACAGACCCAAGTTGTTCTGGTAGTCTTGGGCCCGTTCCTTGAGCCTCGGAGGGCGCTACCGCGTCTCCCTGCCTTGCCCGCAATCCGTGCCAGTCCAATGAGGACCCGATAAGAAATACGATTGGGTCGAGTGTGTCAAGCGTTGAAATGCAAAGGTTCACGGAATGGGGTGGCAGTGCGGACGGGAGGGCATGTGGTCACCAGCGGTGACTGTGAAGTGGAGCTGGCACACCAGCCCAGTCCCAAGGGAAGAGGAGTTTGAGGAGTGGAAGAACCGCGAACATCTCTGGGCCGGGAGACAACTGAAACCAAGGCGTGGATCACGCAGGCACTGTTCGGGGATACAGTAAAAGCGAGGCTGCAGGGAGCTCTCCCCAGGGTGGAGAGCAGTTTCCGGCCCTGCACAGCGCGGGGCAGGGTCTCTCCCAGCCCGTGATGTCAGTGAGCTCACCTGTTCATGTTCTCCCAGGAGAGGCATGTGCTTTCAAACCTATTCTGAAATCTAACTTCAGGAGACCTATCTTTGCTGACCTTGCCTTTGTATTATGAGGCAACTCATTCTGCTCTAGAGTGACGTTATTTAGAGTTTTTTGTTGTTTTAAATGGAGATAACACTGAGTTACAACACTGTACGTGATTTAGGGGGTTAGGTTCACACCTCCTCAGAAATGTCACACCATTCCCACCATCAAAGCACCCATAGTCCTTTACCTTAGGTCGCTTGTCCCCTTCCCCACTCAACCCCTATCAGCCTCCCACTTCCTCTAGTAGCCTCAATTCTGCAAGTCACATTTCTAGGGTTTGTTTTCGTTTAGTTTTGTCAGTTACTTTGTTTTTTTCTGGAGTTACATTAACCCAGTGCTTTTTACTGAGGGGAGGTATTCTTATTTCGAGGTGTGCATTTTAGGATGCTGAATGCCACTGAATAAATGAGGCAGCTTCCTGGAGCATACTTTTTACACCAAGATTGTCAGGAAAAAACCTCATGTTAAAATGAAAATGGAACATTAGACTATATGGAACCATTAAAAATATTTGAGCTTTTAGAGATGGTTTGGCCTCTGTTCCGAGATCTGATGTATAGGTGTCTTGCCCCTTCTAGGCTCTGGTACAACGCTACCTGTCAGAGATCCGGATACTCTTAGATCTTTCACTCACTCACCCTGGTACCAAGCCTTGAGTTCTGTTGTGGAGTATCATTTATCTATAATTTTTTGTCACCTTCCCTTGCACTCAAGTGAGGCCTGATGACCAGTCTCTGTACAGGTAATTATCTCCTTTCCTGTAATCATTACCCTTCCAGTCTGTTATCTACAATGATGCCATTACTCTTATTGAAAGGTAAATGTAATACATCATTCTTCTAAAAACAGTAAAAAGCCCACCACCACTTAAAGCATAATTCCTGCTATATTTCTACCCCAGTTCTATTTCAAAACGTATCAGCAATCTTCACCAACTTCCAGAACCCCTGGTAATGTGCTTCTGTCATACTTTGAGGACCTTATATTCCCCTCCCTGTACCTACATGCCCTTCACACACCACTCATCTCCTGTCATGGAGACTTTCTCTAAGAATTGGTTTTAGTACCATCTCATCTTTTCTGGGAAGTTACCCTAATTGCTCCCCCACTGATGTGCTTCTTTGTTTGCCATGACAACACTTGTGCATATCTTCCCCACTAGATCATGAGCCCCAGAGGATGGGCAATGCCCGTGGTCACTGTTGCTTGTACAATACACTGGTGTGCTTGTATAATACACTTATTAATTGAAGTTAAAATATGCTTCTCTTTCTAGGAACAACAAAAAGCCCTGAAATATGTACCTTAATTTTTCAACAAAACTAAGAATCTCCAACTCAGATGCAGAAGTGAGAAGTTCTACAATATCATCAATGTATCAGATTTTACTAACTCACTCCTATTTAATGTAGTCTAGGATACAGGATAAGTGACACAGAATTTTAAAGTTTTATTTTCTGTGTGTCAACATTTTTATTAATACAGACTTTAATCTGATAAGGTCTATTCTCAAGCATTTGATTGTTTGGAATTGGTTAAAGAAAAAATTAATTTCAAATATAAACTATCAGGGCCTCCCTGGTGGTGCAGGCAGTTGCGTGCCACACTGTGAAGCTGTCTGCAGCCTCTGCAGCACAGGTTCAATCCCGGCTTGTGGGTGAGCATCCCACATGACGAGCAGACCTCTCCTGTCGCGCCCGCTGCTCCCCTCAGCAGTGTACCTCGGTCTTTCCACCTGCTCTGCTCTTCCCTCTGGCTCTGGTGAATTCTCTCACCCTCCCGCGCTTCTGACTGTACCCCGTGCTTATGTAAATAAATAAATAAATCTTTGGGGGAAAAAAAAGGCAATCATTTAAAAAAAATCAAATATAAACTATCAAAAATAAGTATTCACTTAATGTGGTATTATTTGTTTATGGCATCAAAAGGTTTCTTCTTCCAAAGTAAAGGCTCTAATATAAATTCAAGATTTTTTTGAATGGAAACAAAACAAGACATCTTCTCAACCATGCATGTGCCAAACAATGCAGTAGACTATCAGGCGTACTTAGTGTAACGTGCCCACACACATTTATGAAAAATTATAATAAGCACTTTGTGCATGTACTGTAGCTATTTCATAAACATCAAAAGAGAAACTGGACAGTTGGTTAAAAAATTTATTTTTCCATAAAGGAAGCTTGTAAATTTGCTCCTTCTAATCCACCTTCAGGGTTTTGAAGAGATATCAAGTTCTTTCAGATTTTCGGCTAGGTGAGTGGTTTCCTGACTGACTGGGCTTTCCAGGTAGGTGGTGCCTGCACAGGGCTTTCCAGTCACTGGGTCTATGACTTTTCCAACTTTGAAAATGATCTCAGCCAGTTCATGTTTCACATGCTTCGTGCGTGGAACAGGCAAAGCCTTGAGAAGCACAATATCTCCAACTGTGCACTGCTGAAGAGCGTCATGAGCAAAGTAGGTTTTTCGCTTATTAAAATACTGTTAAGAGAAGAAGGAAATTGGTAGTTTCCATCTATAAAGTGGTAATACAGTACAGATGATGAAAAAAGAATGCACATAAAATAAGCTGAGACTTGAGAAAAGATAACTGATTTAAGGAAGTTTCCAATGTAAGAGTTAGTGCTTAATTTTTGGAAAAACAGCTATGACTTTTCCAGAGCTGATCCTGTCCCTGAGCATTCTAGTTTATTCCTTTCAATACCCTTGTGCTATCAATTATCTTTCTCTACATTATTCAAACTCTTCCTTCACAGAAGCAGGTTCCCGCCAATTTATAAATTTCACCATTAGCTGTTTGATTAGGACATCCACTTAACCACATCAAGCTCAATTTTTTCCACCATAAACTGAGGCTCCCATATGTGCACTCAAAGTACCGAGAGAATTATAAAGTAAAACGGACGTAAAGCACTTAGTTCCATATCTGGCTCAAAGTACCACAAGCAAGCCACAGATAACCAGAATCACCTATTCTGCAGGACAACCCTGGCATGGCAGGTACTTCCATTTTACAGATGAGAAAAACCAGCTGAGGGAGGTTAAATAATATGCAGAGCTAGTAAACAACAGAGTCAGTATTCAAACTGAAGTCTTTTGATTCTCACATCAAGGATCATGCTGTCACTCTTCAGGCTTGCTCTAGAATTTCTGATCCTATAGGACAAGTAGCACTTCTGCCTATCTGTGTGCCCAACCTTGAACGCAGAAACATCCTTGGCACTCCCCCCTGCCTCCCTTGATCATCTAACAAATGACTCTATCCCTTTCTCCTGAAGTCTTATCCCACTCCTTCTATATTGTTCCAAGGACTGTTCAGTTCCTAATCAATTCCATCATAGATTTTTGCTAATAATCTTACCCATTTTTTTTTACCTCCAGTTCTCATCCTTATCCCTGCCTCCAAGGTTGTCTTTACTTCTACAATAGAATGAAATTTGAAATACAAGATAAAAGTCCCTTCACCATCTAGGTCCAACTAGTTGCATTCATTCAACAGGAGTGCCTATACTGAGTGACAACCTCTGGGCTCAAATCAATTGCATTGCTGTAGAAGTCATCTCCTTTCATAACTAAAAAAAGTCCACAAACTACTTTTCACAGCTGCAGTGGCTCCCCCAGATGATCTTCTGGATAAAATCCTTTTTCAGATTCAACTCAAATGTCTTCTATTTCAGGATGTTCTCTTTCAACAACTTGGAAAGAACGCGTTGTTGGGCTCACTGCTCCCACAGTACTTTTCAGAGAGTCACTGTTATCAGGCTGAATTGAAATGAATTTTCCATGTCCCTACACACAGGTGTTTACTGCATCTTTAAGGATAGAAAAGTTTTTCTGCTCAGAACACAGACGGTGTTGGTAATTTATCAATGCCCCCTGAAAAGAGGGATGTTCCTCACCTTTAATAGATAGGGATCCAGAACAAGTCTAGTAACTCTCACTTTAGCAGTTTTTTGCATTGCTGTCCCAATCACCTTCCCTACTATCCACTTGGCATGGACCGATGAACGAACTATTGACATTATGTGGCTTTGGTCACCTGAAAAACAAATTTCAGAGTTTAATATTCTGGTAGCTATGACTCACCAAGTGCATTTTGTCACTAAAACTACTATGTCCTGAGAAAGCTTTCCTTGACCTTCTGGAGGATGCTTACACCTTTGCAATTTCCTTAACACCCGACCTCCTATCTCTGTCTGTACCTTTACACAAGCTGTACCTTTAACTTCCTTCCCCCAGGTCTCTTCTGCAAGACGGTAATTATCACTGGGTTTACTCACAGGGGTTTAACTATTAAGCGCTCAACAGCGCGATTATTTGCTGCCTTTTACCCTCAAAGGCTCACGGCCCGGCCGGGCGGGGAGAACTGGGGCCCTCCCCGACAAGGAGACCTGGACTTGGCTTTGCTGCAGATCAGAGCGCCGAGTCCCTCTGGGGCAGGGTGGGGGTGATTCACCCCTCCTCCGGACAACCCCAGGTCAGCCGACTTCCTCGCCCCGGGAGAGTTATCACAAGGCAGCGCCAGGCCCCAACACACCTCCCACCGCCGGCGGCTCTGCGGCCCCGCACTCCCCTGCGGCTCCACAATTGCGCGGCGCCAGCCCGTGGAGCGACGGCGAGGCGTGATGACGTCATCCGCAGCCGCAGGCTGCTCCGCCCCGACCGCCCCCTCTCATTGGCCACCGGCACCAGGTTGAGGGCAGGGCTTTGCTCGTTCCCCTTCTACAGGGGCCCGGCGGGTGGGTCTCCTGGACGCCTTGACCTAGACCTCTGCTGCTTCCACCCTTCCTTCCGCGCGCTGGCCGAGCGGGTTCACAGGCTTTCCTTCACCATTTGGTCTCCTCGTCTTCCGTTGAGCTCTCAGACTCTGCTCGGGGCATTGCAAATCAGAGGAACTTCTTTCATCAAGCATGGAGATAGACGGCTAGATGCTGAGGCTGAAACACTTAAGCATATCCCAGCCTCCTTTTAAGAGAAACTTCTGTAGACTTTTATGTCCAGTATCTTTTAGGTATGTCTCGGGACCTGTGAGATGGAGAGAAGTAGGTTGGTTAGATGGGCCATGAGCTGGCTACTGGTGATGTCTTTTCTGAAAGATAAGACTGGGAATGTTAGTTGCTCTGATTTGGAATCACTAACGGGGCCCAAAAACAAAAAGCTATTTGGCACAGACAATTTGAGGGTCAAATATGGGTAGTCAAAATGCAGCTGAAGCATCTTAGCAACTTGTGAAAGAAGGTTGGGGAAAAAGCTATTCATACATTAATAGCAAACATTTATGGAGCACTTAGCAAACATTTATGGAACACTTATTCCAGACTGTGCAAGGCATTGGAGCAGAAGAATAAATCAAAGCGGGCCCCCCTCAAAAGGCCTGTCAGTAATGTTATAGAGCAGTCCCGATATTGAACGGGTTCCTGGCTGTGGGGTCCTCACCCGCGCGCTTAAAAGGGACTTATTAATACTCCACTACAGGCACACACAAAGGTTAATAAAAGGTTTATTTACAGGGAAAAGGAAATAAGGAAATGTACAACTCAGGGAGAAAATAGGGAAATAAAGTCTTTAATGTGTCCTACCCGATCCGACGACCTGGAAACCCAAAGTCACTCTCAGAGCTGGCCAGACGCTGCTAGCTGGTGGAGAGCCAAAATGGGGGACCCCCCCAAGCCCATGTGTCTGCCTTTTATATCAACCTGGCTTCTTAAGCCCACCCTCAGGTCCCAGCTACCTTCCCTTTGGTGGTGATGGGATTTGGAGTTTCCAGTGGCTTTGGCTTTGGCCTGGGGTGGGGGTGGAGTCCAAAAAGCCTGTATGGAATTAGCTTTAGGACATCCTTTTCCCCCTAACAATTGGGATAGGTGAGGACGGAAAGAATTATAAAATAAGGCACGGGTAATGGCAGCCAGGCATGCCTAATGAGCCTGAGAATGGAAATTTGGTCAATACATGGTCCCTGGCCAGGAGCCATAACTTGGGAGGGGGACATGCGATGTGGGGACAGCTTTTGAGGTAGAAAGAGAGCATATACAGAGGTTGTGGGGTGTAAAGGTTAAGTAGTATAAGAGTCTGGTATGACCAGAATATATGATAAGAGGAAGAGTGGCAGGGTGAAGCTGGATACCCAGGAGGCATTTCTCACTAAGGACCTGTATTTCCTAAAGGGAAGAGGGGGCACATCATTTCTCTAGTTTTTCAAGATAATTTTGCTAGTTTTCAAAATCATTGTGCTAGAAGTATGAAAAACAGAATAGAGATGGGAGAGATTTAGAGTCTGGGTGCTTTGTCAGGGATTGGTAAAGACCTAAACTGGAGCAGAGACAATAAAAAGAGAAAGTGGATTGTGAAGTGACTGGGAAATTGACCAGTTGTGTGAGGCAAGGAGACAGAGAGGAAGTAAATGTGTACATATGCACATATAGATAATAACATAATTAGTTTTATTACTCTGCTTCTCAGGTTGATTGGCTTAAACAACAACAAAAACATTTTCTTACAGTTCTGTGGCCAGAAGGTAAAGGTGCCTTAAGGACTGTTTCTGGTAAGGACTCTTTTCTTGACTTGCAGCCAATGGCCGCCACCTTGCTGTGTCTTCAAATCATGCCTTTTCCTGTAGGGAAGGGGCAGGAAGGGAAGGGGAGGGAAGTTACAGGAGACTAACAAGAGAAAAGACAGGTTTATACATGCATGTAGTATATAGATGAATAGATTCACTGAACAACTAGAGGTAGGGATTTATATGCCAACAATGAGGGAAGGGGAGGAGGAAGGACTCCTATGGGAAAAAATTAGACTTTTAGGAAAGATAAATGGGCTTTTGTGCAAAATGGAAAGTTATAAACAGTTTGTGATAATGTTTATCTATGTAATTTCTCATCCTGCCACCAGTGGTTGGTTGATTTGCTTCTTGGCTACAATCACCATAAGCGCAGACCCAGCATCTAAACCCTCGGGGACTTTTGCAAGAGGTAGAACATGTGAGATCCAGCAGAAGAAAGGTCCTTGGGATTTAAAAGTAGAATTTTTTTTTTAAAGATTTATTTATTTATGTATACAAGAGCAGGGTACAGGCCAGAATTTGACTTGGTGATTTGTAATATATAGTATCTCAGAACAGTTTGTTGAGCATGGACAGCAGCT